TCACTGCACTCACCGAAGCATTAAACTGCTATTTTGCGCTGATATTCTGTGAGAGCTTGGTCCTACCCCGGTCGAGCCGACCCATTTGTACTACAATTATAAAATAGTTGCAACATGACTCTACCACGTAAAAAAACTTTACTAATAGCCGTTGACTATATCAATGCAGCCCATTTCAGTCTACAGCTGAACATAGACCTCCACCATAGATTGCCTTATAGAGCAGTCTATGGGGGAAGGCAAAAGGGTATTTTAAATTATTGCCACGTTTGGCAAGTGGGTTGGTAACCGCAATTTTGTATTTTTAGTTTATTAAGAAGACGTAGCTGTCCAACTCCTGGTTTGTTTCCCTCTATCGCTTCTTACGACACCCATATGGGGTAGTGGATATTCTTACATCGCCACTCGTTCGTTGATGATCTTTTTTTTTATCTCTTACTGAAATTAGGTATTAATGATCACTATACCTGTCTCTATCTATTGTCATTTAGTGAAAAGAGGGAGAGAATTTCATCATTTATTAAATTGTCGTTGATTTTTATGGGTAAGGCTGATGAAGAATAATAGATTTTGCAAGATTTTGACAGATCTATTGCTGTCGCTTTGTGCTTTAACCCTGCCCAAGCAAAGCGCTAGAAAAACAATCTTACTCTCGGACTGATAGCACCTATAACAAGTGGTAAAATTAAAAATGTTGTACAACCGACTTCAATATAACAACTTTGACAGAAATGGCGGTGTACCGTGGTATACTGAACACATCTGCATACGCATATGTAGAGGGAACATGCGTGATATTATGTTGTGTGATTGCGTAAACAATGTATAGTTATGCGATAGCAGCAATCGCAGTTGTTTTGCTGGCATTTATTGAAGAGTTCTGTTGTCTGTCTTCGAAACTCATTTTCAGATTTTTACGAAATTTAAATGTCTCTCGTACAAAAAAAGAATTTAGCAAATCTGTCTATATATGACGGAGTTATACCCATATATCCATAAAAAATAAATAAATATCCGAATTGAGAACCTACTCTTTTTTGAAGTCGGTTAAAAATTGACAAAATTATCACTGTATTAGTTGGTTTTTCCTCCAAAACTTGACCGATTTTAATGATTTTTTTTTAAAGAATATTATAGAAACGAGCTATGTCTTTTGTGTCTGTGCTTTTTTATTTTTAAAAATGCTAGTTAAACTTGATTGCTGTCAGTATAACTGGGATATTTTAATAATTTTAGAAGGTTTAAATTAATTCGTCTATAAAAGAAAACAAAACATATGTGGGTTTTATCGCAAGGCAATATTTGTATAGTAATAAAATATTTGCTCTAGTAGCATTATTAAGGGAGAAACAAAGGAATACGTTCATATGGACTAAACGCCACCTGGTTATATTCTTTAGGTGTTTGAATTTTTTCTTAGATTAAAAGTAAAAAGGTAAATCAGCTCTCTAAATACAATTACATGTCTAGAACACAGCCCTGACTAAGACCACTGAAACAAAATAACCCAGCTAAAATAAAGGCACGTGGATCAACTCGCGTATCGTATCGGGTTGCAGCCACAGTTCGTTGGAGCTGACATTGCATCCGTCAACGCTTCACACTCCGGTAGCCAGGGTCGCTCACAAACATTACGAGTCTCTATATATTAGTATAAGTTTTTTTTTATCAGCGTTGGAATCAAGGTCACAAGGTGGTTCATTATTCAATGCAAGGAAGCTAGGATAAAAAACTCACATCCTAAACCTGGATGTTTGGCCAGAAACCATAATGGTACAGTAATCACTTAAATAAAAAACATGCGTGAGTGTCGTGGAATACTCGGTTAGAACAAAGTTCCTTTCGTAGTATATTATTATTGATAAACGTATTATATTATTGATCAATAATTTAAAATTAAAAATTTTGTACAGCAGACTTCAATATAAGTTATTAAGAATAACTCAAAAACTATTGGTCTGACCTTGATCAAATTCATATGGAACCACACGAGGAGTATCAGCTTTCATATTAAAAAAGAATCGTCGAAATCGGTCCACCCAGTAAAAAGTTATGAGGTAACACACATAAAAAAAACACACGCGTCGAATTGAGTACCGTCTCCTTTTTGGAAGTCGGCAGACAAAATAAAATGAATTACTAGCGTCTATTACAATGAAGCGTCATTTAAAATAAAATAATATTTCTTTCATGGCAAGATAAGAAAGAGTGCGAGTGAGATGGATATTAATCTATCTCGCTTCCTTATAGCCGCCAAGGCCGTCTGCACTACGTCAGAAGGGGTCGTGACGGAAAAATCTTACACTTTTTGTCACCGCCAAATCCGTACCGTCCGACAGAGAACGTCGTTCCAAAAAATCCCCTCCATATTTGAGTTAGAAGGGGAAATATTTATCTATAATTCGTATGGTAGCATCATAGGTAGGAGACGTCTGGCAGTCAGCCTTACGACAGGAGAGCCTCATGTTCAGCAGTGAACACCAAGAGACTGATACAGAAGAACGAGAAGAATTTTTAAGGTTGGTCCTGTTATAGACCAGTATCGTGGGTCTGCACAAGAGACGAGGTAGATCAAGGAATGAAGTTCTATTCCTGCTGTTGATTGATAACGCGCTGTGTCATCAAGTCTGAGTTGCAGACTGCTATTCCAATTATCAAATCATCAAACTATATACAATTTGTTCAGACTCTACTTAATGGTCGGAATATAAATAAGCACTGCTACTGTCCTGAGTAGGTTAGGTATGTAATGGCGGTGTTATCATAGTTATTCTGTTTGACTGTCTCATGTGTTTAGTGGTCGTATACCCGACTACTCATCACGTGGGTTGAGTACCCGAGATTCGAAACCGAGACACGGAAAAAATAGTTCTTGAGTTTTTATGTTATGAAATTCTCACTAAAAGTTCGGAGTCAAGGGTGATGTTTTGTCCCGTACCTCGGAGAACACGTAAAAGCCGTTGGTAATGGCGCCGGATCTCTCCGAGCGTATTGGTTTTCTGTCCTATGAGACTCTGGACTATGAGAGTGAGGGAATAGAGAGTGCACCTGTGCACTTGAGCACACACTCGTGCACTAAAATCCTATCCTTCGCTGATGCCCCGTCTCGTTAAGACTAACCGTCATGACCGAAATTGAGGACATTATTTGTCGGCAACGTCAGAATATACAAAGGTGTACGTGAGATGGTCTTTGTAACAAGACTTGGGATCGCTCCGTTGCACAGTGCGTTGCGCAGATAGAGATAGAGGCGAGAGAGAGGCTTTTAAACCATGCAGATATGCAGTAGACGTGGGACACCATGGAATGTTATCGGGTGCTAGTAATAGCCCGACCCTTATGAAAAGTGCACATGCGTAAGTATTCGCCCATGAAGAAAGGGTACGACTTGGGTGAATTGGTGTTAAGGTCAGGGTTAGTTTTGTTTGGCCTTGTATCTCTGGCGTAGCATACTAATTAATTTTCGATATTCTAATCCTAAGATTTGCATGTTTCCTCACGATGTTTTCCTTCAACAGCGAGCACGTGGTAAATAAGCACTTACAATTGAAATTACCAATTTAATCGGTTCCGGCGTGGTACGGGGTTACTTACGCATACATACCATAATACCATCTCATCAACATATATAGCATTCTGTGTTAGACAATTTATGTAGGACAGGTTTGACCTGGTAGAGCCACGCTGCAGCTATATCATGGTAGTAGCATGAGTTGGCTCGAACGAGATAGGACGACGCTTTCATAGAATACCAGCGTTAAAAAAGCAGCTCAATGCTCAATGTGTTTCGTATGGGGAGTGTAGAGAACCGAAGACTCTTTTTATTGGAAACGAGGCATTCCATCTTAGTCCTCAGGTGTAACAACCCATGTAGATTTTGAATCGAGGATAAATGTAGATGTCTATGGGCCCAGCATCCAGTTACCATAACGTGGACTGTGCATTCGTTTGTCAACCTTTTTCTATAAAAAACATTTCACGTTTGCAAAACACAGCATCTTCTCACAGCTTGGTATTTTACATCTGGTTTACGAGATGTACCAACTAGCATCTATTGAAAGTTATAAGGTCTTTCTGGTCTTTCCCATAATCTTACGATACCCACTGTAAGATGGGGTGATCGATTATCTAAAGCCGCAAACGCTGCAAATCGGTCTTATTAAACTATATATAAAGATAAATCACATGGATCTCTATAGCTGTGTATATTAGAGCATTAAAACTAAGTCTCAAGTTATTCTCGTAAAAGTTTTAACTAAAGAGATTAAATATAAAGTTTATCAGTCAGTATTATGAGTTTTTGATGAAATCCCCGTCATTTTTTTAAAGTAAGATTTTTGGCTTGGATGCTTGTCCTTTAAGCCATCCTCATCATTTTATTTCGCTGCCTTTACAAAATAAGAAGCAAATCAGAAGTAAAAGCCATGCAATGTATAATTTTTTTTTCCTGTAAAATGTTTTGTATGTGTTGTAATGTTGTCGAACACTGCCTTCTAATAAAAAAATATATGTTTTTAAAGAAATGCACAATAAAGTTTAAGAAAATACACGAAAGCACGCATGATATTTAAACCATCTTATGTAATTGCTTTTGCTAAATTAAGAAATTCTTACTTCCGTAAAATTTTGTCATTTTAATTTTCAACACGAAATCTTTTATTTTTTAAGTTTACCAGTCGTAGACTACGACTGGTAAACCTACTGGTAAACTTAAAACTTTTGTACAATCGACTTCAATATAAATAAAATGAGAGCATGATCAATGTAGTCGAAGTCAATTAAATACGCATTATTAAGGATAACTCAAAAACTACTGGTCAGATCTTAATCAAATTTATATGGGACCACAAGAAAAGCACCAGCTATTAAATAAAAAAAGAATCATCAAAATCGGTTCACTAAGAAAAGAGTTCTAAGGTAACACACATAAAAAGTAATACAATCAAATTGAGAACCTCCTCCTTTTTTAAAGTCGGTTGAAAATTAAAAAGCGAACTTACCTAACAAAAGCTTGGCGAAAAATGCGCAATCCTGTTATAATTATGCTCCACTGGATTTATTTGGTTGAAATAATAATTTAAGTTACTTGATGGCAGTCTCTTTCGGGCACTTGATTTTTATACCATAATATATGGTTTTATAGAATAATAAATTATGGCATGTCAATTTTGACTTGAACCGATCTGCACGGGAGTATGGAACGAACTGCGCCAGTGGCCATTTTTGACGTCATCGCTACGAATATAGCATGTGGAGTGTTTCGAACGAATTTCCACATAATAGCTAAGAGTTAGTTCATCCGTAAAGCTTAAATTATTTTGTACACTTCGTGAACATACGACGTTTTAATATATGGTTCGGTGAAATGTCGGCGGTGTGTTATTTTTGCCGCGCTTTTCGCGTTTCCCGCGCGTGGCTTAAAACGGCAACGTGCGGGCGCATCCACTGCGCGCTTTTGTTTACTATTGGTTTCGTCCAGACTGATTGATACGCATTTATATTACGTCATTATTTATAAACATGTTTTTAACAATTTTAGCCTGAGAATATAAATTTATATTTACGTAAGCAATTTCTTATGAAACTTGCTGCGTAAAATCGATTGAGTATTTTTTAAATTGAAATACCTATATTTTAAAGCAGCGACTAGCTCTGGTTTCGCCCGGATAGGATATATTAATGTGCAGTAATTTAGATTTATGATAATCAAAGGCCTTTTTCGGCAACTTTTGTTTTTTTTTATTAAAAAATATAAGTTAAAGATAGCATCTAGCCATTTAGCACGCGAGTTCATCACAATCAGTTCAGAAATTCCGGAGATAAGTCCGGACAAATAGTCAAACAGACAAAATTTTAAAAAATGGCTATTTATGTCCTTAATAGCATGCAAATAACCCCTGAGCTTAAAAGGAGCCAGATACTTCACTTTCAATATTACAAATTGAACTGTCTATTACTATTTTATCGATAAGATATGATTTTTACTACAAAATCAGTGCGATCGTCTGAATAATCTGAAATCATGCAGACGTGACGTGTTAAAAATCGATGAATACACTAATACTAATTAATGTGACTATGACCTAGCATATCTAGCATACAATCTATGTAGGAGGTCTACATATAATCGTTGGGTCTGGATATTTGTTTTTGGACACAATAAGTATGTATTATCTCCACGATACAGGACAAAATGCTAGAGTGGGGGGTAACGTTTAAAAAAAAACTTGCTATAATAGTTGATAAAATGTTTCAGATTGTAAATTTTATTGTAGTCTCACGGAGTTGTTTACTTTTTAATGTAATAAACAAGCAGTGGCGCGCGAATGTAACTGACATGTACGTATGATGTGGGGCGAACTTGGCACACGTTGTCTTTATCCGTTTTCCCAAGCTTCCTGATAGATAAATACTGTTCGTGACTCACGCAGCACTGCGCTAGATGCAACTGTGTTAAACGTTAATGTATTTTCATAACTGTATTTAAAGTAATGTTATTTAAAAACAGACAGACAACAATTTTAAAAATTGTGTTTTTGTTATAAGTACCGTATATACTTTCATATGCATTTCGTAAAAAGCTGTTATTTTATTACATTTACATTACAAACAGACACTTCTATTTTATTAAAGCTTTTAAAAAGTTACTTCGCAAACACCCGTTCTATAAAATGAAATGATGTGCCTTACCTAGTATGAAGAGCACCTCCCGCCCTCCCTCAATTGCGTGCACTATCTCCGTCACCACTAATCCCAGCACCAACACTTCCAACACCACTACACTAGGAAAGACACAGCAGTGACGACAATACGACACGTGTTTCGCCTCTACACAAGGTTTCCTCAGGTGATGTAGACTCTGCGGTGGCTGACCGTCAAGATACAAGATAGATAGTCTATCTTGTATCTTGACGGTTTATCAGTTTTATAGAGCGGATGTTTGCGAAGTAACTTTTTAAAAGCTTTAATATAATGGATTTCCGCAAAGTAACGCCTGATTCTATTAATTATACTTCAATTTTATTTATTTGTATAGATTATATAATTCTTCTGTCCGTGTGATTGTGACTGAACTACTGCTAAACGGCTGGACCGATTTTGATAAAATTTTGTGTGTGATTAAGTTGATTAGAGAATGGTTTAGATTCACAATTGCACCCGGTAGGTGTTGTTGTCGAGATGCAGATATCAACCGTGCGAATCCGGGGCGGATAGCTAGTATTCTATAAAAAAAAAACTGTTGCCTTCTTCGCTTGAAGTCGGCTACAGGTATCCATGGACTGAAGTAGACACTACAACCATGTGAATTCTAGTTTTATGTAGAGAAAAAAGAATTTGACTAGAGCAGTGAGCTGATGCTGCAAAATGCAACTTAGCAGCGTTGAACTCAGTGGAAAGACGTGCTAAGAGGGCTCATTGGTAACCTTCATTTGATTGGAACCAATCTTGTCAGTCTCGAGCACAGGCGCAGAGCAGGAATTACACGCTTTAATTCCTTCCTCTCCTCTCCGCCATCGGACCCCTTTGCAGTCGGATACTCCATGCATTATAACCAAGCAGTTTGCTTTGTCTTTTGTAATGCGTACAGCAAAGAAATTGAATAATTTGCCGGCGTCTGTCTTTCCATCCGAATACAACCTGGGCGTCTTCAAGGCAACGGTGAATAGGATTTTATTAAGGTAAAATAATGCGATAGATCTACGGCATCATCATCACTTACTACCAGGTGTGGTCAAGCACTGGTTTATAGTAAGTAAAAAAAAATAAATCACACGGTAATATACATAAATATTATTTTGTATTAAATAAAGTCGAATAATAATAACTTTTTCAAAAACAACGTTAGCATAAACTTCGAAAATATTTTATGAAATCACGCGCCAATTATGGCACTTGAAACGTCGTCTTGCGTTCATAACGACCAACATTTCCTCGATTGGTGGCGAGCCAAGTTTGTGTTTGTATTATGTACTGATGTGAAAATAATTATAGTTTGGACATTGACTCCGTGTGTTCTAAGACGCATAATTTATTTCATTGTAAACACTTCAACTAAGCAAGACGGGTACATATTCTTTTTTAATTTATATAAATTACCATTTTTAAGGAATAATGGTGACAAACGAGCACACAGTCCACCTGATGATAAGTGAATGTTGTGGACCATAGACATCCGCATTTGTCCTCAATTAAGAATCAAAATGCATATAAGTATATTATCATCCCCGAGGACTTAATTAATACAGTCCTTATTTTTGTAATTTTTTGTAGACCTTCTATATTGATAAAACTATAAAGTATTTTTAATGTAAGTGTAAGTTATATGATCAGTCTATTTATGTTTTTTTTTATAGAATAATATAGTGTCAAACGGGCGTGGTCAAAAGCTGTGGCCCATAGATATCTAAATTTATTTTCAATTAAGAATCGAAATGAATATGAGTTGACAGCCGTGAAGACTGAGATGGATGCCTCATTTACACTAAAAAGGGTCTCCGGTTCTCTACACTCACCATACGAAACAGAGCAGCATTAGCTGCTATTTTACCTATTTATCCTACCGGTCGAGCCGACTCATTCGTGTTACAACCATAATATAGCTACAGCGTGGCTTTACCACGTGTAAAATATACTAAACTGAATTCAATTAAAAGTAACATTGTTTAAAAATAGATAATTTGTATTATTTAAGTTTTTTTTTGTAGTAGATGTGGCAAACGAGCATGCGGCTCACTTGACGGCATAACATATAGATAATATAGATAACACCAAGGGAATTTCTTATTTCTTGAAGGTCCCTAAGTCGTATTTGTCCAGAAAAATTGCCAGTAGTCGATTCTAAAAAGAAGTTATAGTTATACGAGGAAGAAAACTCCTTGTAAATCTCATAGTGGTGGACCGCTAAGCATCCAGATGGTGTGGATGGTATCGTGAGTTTGTAATACCATAATGAAAGAATGTCACACACAAATAGATCCTTGAATTGTAATCACTTCTTCTCAAAGGGGACTTATTTCTCCCTCGTAAGAACAAACTCGGCACCATCAATTTGTGGGCCGATCATTACAGAAAATGATTATTGAAGCACTGAAAAGACCCAAGAAGGCTTGTCTGATATAATTTTAAAGTCAAATTGTAAACTAATCTCTCAAAATTATATTAAAACTAATAATTCTGCGACATATCAACGTACGTTGTTGATGCTGATGATAATAAGCTTTAACAGTTTCAAAAAGACACAATAGTAAAACAATTGAAATGTTCATATATGATTCATGCGACAGGGGGAAGGGTTAAGAAAGGATTATGATCGACTGACCTGCTTTACAATGACCTTGCCGGTGGGCTGCTCGGTGACGTAGCCCTGCATGCCGGCCATCAGCACGCTGGCGCCGAGGAACTTGTTGAGCAGCGCGCGCGCCTCCGCGTCCTCGCAGCTGTCGCTCTCCTCCACCACTGCAGACAACACCAGTATACAATAGAATAGAACACAATATCTTTTTATTATGTTCTCAATATATATTACGCGTTTTTCTTATTGAAAGTCAGAAAGTCAAGAAAGTTTATGTAAGTCTCCTTCTTCTTTTCTCTTTTATTTGGTAGAGCTATGCTGCAGCTATATTACAGAATTACGGGGTAGGACCACGCTCTTAAAGAATACCAGCGTAAAATAGCAGCTTCATGCTGCGTATTCGTATAGTGAGTGTAGAGAACCGGAGACCCTTTTTACTGGAAACGAGGCATTCCATCTCAGTCCTCAGGGGTGGCAACGCATCTGCATTTTGATTCTTAATTGAAGATAAATATAGTTGTCTATGTCCTACACCATCCACTTACCATTAGGTGAAGTGTGTGCTCGTTTTTCACCCTTATTCTTGAAAAAATGCTTACCGATGTCGGCGTTCTTCATCCTGGTGAGGATGTCCTGCACGCCGGTGACCTTGGTGTTGCTGTCGAGGAACGAGCGCTCGTGGCTGGTGCGGGTGTGCGTGGTGCTGGTGTCGCCGTCGCCCATGTCCTGTCGCCGTGTTGTCGTCGTGGTGGTGGTGGTGGTTGTAACCACGTTGTCGTCCGAGCCCAGGCTTTGCTCGCTGTCTGTCCTCGTTAGGCCTGGTGAAATCAAGAAAATTCAAGTCCAATGTTTAAAGAAAAGAAAGAACTCATTACTACGTGGTAGAGCCGCGCTTTAGCTTTTGCAATGCTATACGA